AAGAGCTATTAATATGACAATTAATGCTCTTGAAAAAGCTGGTCATCAAGTTATTGAATGGGATACAACAGATCATCCAAAGGTAACTTGTTAAAATAATATTATTTATCATACATATATAGATTTCTTATATAGGGAATTGAAATGTTAATAAAATTCTTTCAAGCTGATGGTGGAAAAGATGTTCAAAGAGATCTCGATCTAAGTGGAGAACCACTTCTTCCTGGTGCTTTTGTTGGATCGCCAGAAACAGAACTAAGTGTTTATGAAAATTGGCAACTGAATCAAGCACGTACAGATTATGCAATTAAATATCTTGAAAAATGGAATCAAACTAAAGAAAAAACTTCAACAGGTCGACCTATTGATGGAATTATTTCACCTGTTTGTGCATTACCTGCTTATCCTCATGAATTTCGACTTAGCATTGGATATACTGGTATTGCTAATTTACTTCAATTGAGTTCTGTTATTCTTCCTGTTACTCGAGTTGATTTAGAATTAGATCAAGTAACTGATGAGTATCGTAATATGAAAATAGCAAGTGAATTAGATCAAATAGCTCGGGAAACTTACGAAGGTCCGGAAGTTTTTGAAAATTGTATTGTAGGTTTACAAGTTATTTGTCGAAGATTAGAAGAAGAAAAAGCAATTGGTATGGCTATGGTTTTAGAGAAAGCACTTAAATTATATCAATAAATTTAGAAAAACAATTATTTATGATTAAAATATTTCAAATAGACTTATAATCAACATTGACAGTATAACAACTCTAAATATTTTCGACCTTGACATATAAGTAAAATATAAATCTAAATGTTGTATGAATGATTTAGCTTGTGTTCGTATATCTATTTCTTGATTATTAACAATTGAATAAATGTTAGGAATGATTAATCTACATTTACGAAAATGTCACAAATCTAAAAATTAATTTAAAGAAAGTTAAAATTTTTAAACTTAGCTACTCTAAAAATATCAGCCATATCGCTAAGATCAATTGATTAACCTTGATGGTGCCTTTTGTACAATGGTTTTTAAGTAGCTCAATCTAATCAGTAGAAATTCCCTCTAAAATTTTTTTTTTGTCATTTAGTTATTCATTCATTTTCTTCTATGTATTGGCGTTATTACCTATTTTTCGAACATATCAGAAACATTCAATTCGATTTTGTTAGTTCTAATAACAATTTTTACTTCTATAACTTTGTTCTCATAAAGTCTATCATTACACATTCAAATATGAATAAGATTTCAATTAAGAGTATCTAAATATTAGATGACATGGTTGTTCTTTTTATGTCTTGCCTTTCTTTGAAGATTTCTCTTGCTTATAGTTATTATTGCATGGATTACAGTGACAAATAAGACATAAATCATGCAAAGAGAAACCCATGATATGAAAACGCATTTAGCGTCATTTTTTTCTTTTCATCATAAGTGATATTTGATGACAGTGGTTTACCAGTTATTATATGAGGTTTCATATTCTTTCATTTCTGCTATTATCAATAATAATTGACTTTTTATGATGATTGTCGACAATATACTAAAGAAGAAGAAAGAAATCGTATGAAAGAGAACACAAGAACATAATTCAATGGGCCTATAGATGTTTTCTCTTCTTCATATATATATATACTGTTCACAGGCTTTGAAGGTTACTTTGTAAATATTCTCCTTTTTTTCGTTTGAATTCTACTAATGAAGTTGCTTGATGACTTTTGCTGATTCTCTTGAAGACCACGGCATAAAACAATATACATCAGGTTTTAGCTTCCATTTCTCTTCGGAAAAAACCATCTATGACAGTTTGTTTTCTTAGTTTTGTTTTTCAGGTACTAACATTGATCGTCGTTTTCCTTTTTTTCGTAGAAGACTGTAGAAATAATTTTAGGGTGTACACAACAAGTTTAATCGAACATCTATGCAGATGACCATCTACTGATCGATTTCGACCGTCAAACACTAGAAATGGATAAAACCTTGCAGTAGTATTGTTCACGAGCTTTTATTGACAGTTGAGTAAATAAATCAAGAGAGGACAATAAATCATACAATCGATAAGAGATACAATGTTGATAGTGTGGCATCACCTGCAATTCGCTAGTCGTGTAGTCAATTGTTTTGATCGTAATTTTCTCCCTACTGAATTCGACTTTAAGTTGAGTTTTTCTCAATAAATCATATGCTTTCATAGTTTTCCATGAAATTACTAGTTACTTTTCATAGACACCGATGAAATTCCATCAAAAAAAGTCGATTAGTTGATCAGAAATCATGATAAAGATACTGAGTGGAGAAATGTACTATTCTCTTAACGCTTCATGCCAATGTTAGGCGAAAGAATATCCATATGTCCAAAAACGTATAAATGCAATCACTAGCGACTTTTTGCATATATGATTTTTTGATTCTAGAAGTGAAGAGTGGTAAAAGCTTCATAGTAATTGAGAGAAAGTTTGTAAGATTCATTGTCATTAATACTGTTAACATTTGCAATTTCGTTTTCGTTATATGGTTTTTCTTTGTTTTGTAGTTTGTAATGTTAACTCAAGTGTGAAGTAAGAAGAGAAAATGTTCGATACTTTTTTTGGAGAGTAAAACGAAGCTTTCTTCACCTTCACTCTATGTGACGAGCAAAACACAGTGGAAAGGGAAGTACAGTTGAATAGATGAATATTATGTAATAGCCATGGAGAAAGACGTTTATTTCAAATTCTGGTTCGAGATTTGGTGATATAATACTGTTTTGGGTCATCAGTCTGTTCATGTTAGATTCGGCATCTAATACTCGAATGACTTTGAACGAAACTGGTTAAGAGGCGAATATCAGACGGTAATACACAAGTCTGCCATCAAGTTTCATTACTTTTTATTACGAGAATGAAAACTCACTCGTGCATAAAGTTCCAAAATATGAATTCCCTTCGAGGTTACTCAAGAACTCTATAATGCCTGGGTGTGGGTGTGGGTGCTTCTCTTCTCTCAGTCAACACCCACACCCACACCCACACCCTTAAACTTTTCTTCGCCTTTTTTTGAGAAGGAAAACAGAAAACACCCATACCTTTCCTTCCTTCTCTAAATGCAACAGAAAAATGAAAGTGAGACTCCTAATGCTCAATTCTATCCTCTTCTCTTCATTATCAAACATGGAGAGTGAAAAAAATCGCGACAGATGTGACAGTCAAGTGTAAAGTGAAAACACATGTTTGTTCACATTCTCGTACTCAAGGAAAAAACATTGATGACAAAGATTTTCCTCATCAGTTTCAATTTCTATCATGACAGTTGCAATTTTGTTCTATAAACGGAAACGGCAATAATATTAAATATCAGCATTCGTGCGTTTCTTTTATTTGAATTTTTAATATAACTTAAGATATGCTTAGGTAATAGCTTTGTAGTTTTATGTAATTCATTAAGTGTAACTCCCACGATCCTATTATTTTTTATTTGAAATTATGCCATATTGCAGAAAAGGGAACGCCATGAGCAGGTAATATAGGCTAGTGATACCTTTTTTGTCAAGTGTAGAAGATGAGATAGGAATAGCGCTTCGGAGAGTCTCATCATTAGAATCTTCAATTGGTGGACTGAATCGCCAATACCATCGCAAAAAAAGCAGATGTAGACTTTTAAATCACTTCAATCTATTAGATTATTTTTTGACAATGTTCTTTGTCACAAATTATTATTTTAAACACTCTTTGCTGCAGTAATTTACAAGAGAAGGTTTCAAGATAATTAAAAGCTTTCAAGTTCATACTTCGTCCAGTATTAGGAAACCTATAGATTAGAACAGGCTTTAAATGGTTTGTATCTTAACGTCAGCACGAATCCTTTGTACGATATTTTAGTCAATCGATCTCTTCATGACTCAAAACAATGTGCTCAGAAGCTTTTGATCATCTAGGCATATTCTCTCGTTAGTTGTAACATATTTGTCTCAAATTTTTTCAGTAAAACATTGTGTTAGCAGAAGTTTGCGTCGAAAACTTCATTAGTAGAATATTTCGCATATTTTCGAATTTTGGTAGTAAAGAAGAAATAGAAAACGGACATGGCTTTTTTTTATCTATTTACAGGTACTCCAAAAAAATATCCTGACACCCTCATGTTTTCTTTTATATTTCTTGGTTCGCGAAGCAGAAACAAGAGGTAAAACTTTTCTTTCTTCATTGAAATATTATACCAACAGATAGAGCTCGCTTTGCTCGTTCTAGCGATGTGCAAACAATATAATTCTGATGTCAGAAAAGCGAGCACCTAACATATCGGAAAATTGGACATTGTCATGAGAACCTAGTTCGAAGGAAAGATTATCTATTGATGAAATAAGAAAAATTTTCTCTTGTTTCTACTTCGTAAATCAAGAAATACGAAAAAACATGCGGGTATCAGGATACTTTTTGAAGTACCTGTAAATCTTTTGATTGTCTTTCTACTTTGTGGTCTTTGGCATAGTGTTAGTTGGAACTTTATTATTTGGGGTCTATTTCATGAAATATTCTTAGTATTAGAATGAACTACCCTATTCACATCTATGCTACAAAAAGCACCAAGAATTTTTCAACATCTATATGCATTGATTGTAATATTCTTTGGATGGTTGTTTTTTCGATCACCTACTCTGAAACAATCTATTGGATTTATTAGAAATCTACTCGGATTACACTCACATCATAGTCGTATGAACATTCCAGCAAAACAATATCTTGACAAAAAAATTGTAGTAATAATCATTTTTGCTATACTTAGATCGACTGGTATTCTTTCTGAATTGATTCATGTACTAAAAGATGCTCCAAAACGTCTTTCGAACAAACATGCTCGAATATTTGTAAATTCAGTGTTAGCTTTGTTTTGGATAGTCATATTTGTCTGTCTGTTTCTACTTACTATCATGACTATATCAAGTGGACTCTATAATCCTTTTATTTACTTTAGATTTTAAGAGAGAAATAAAACTTTCACATTTTTCACATTTCATTATTATGGCTTCAAATTTTCAACAACGACAACGAATATTGTTAGATTGGCTGATCATTATTCTTTTTCTATTGTTCATTTTTCTTCCTGAAATAAACAGACAATTTCTAATTATTCCTGATATTTCATCAACAGAAAAACGAACATTAGCCTCACGTCCACTTTTTGATATCCGAAAGATAGATGATTTTATCAAAAAATTTGACTTATTCTATAATGATAACTTTGGATTTCGTGTTCGACTTGTAGCTGCAAACACTCGTCTACATGTCAATTTGTTTGGAATATCTGGTGTTCCACGCGTCATTATTGGTAAGCATGGTTGGTTGTTTATTAATGACTATCCACCAACGGATCCAAGAGCATTTTCTAGTTGGCAAGGATATAATCCTTATTCTCTTGATGAATTAGTGGCTATTCAAAAAAACTTGGAAGCTGAAAATAAGTGGTTTACTCAACAAAACATTACTTTTCTTATTCTTCCATCTCCTGACAAGCATTCAATCTATTCAGAATATTTACCATGGCAATATAACACTATTGTTGGTCCAAGTAGACAGGCACAAATATTTGAGCATATGAAATTGCATTCAAATCTACAACTAGTTGATGTAAGACAAGCACTGTTGACCGCAAAGAAAGTACATGGACTGGACACATACTTTAAAACTGACTCTCATTGGAACACTATTGGAGCGTTTTTTGCCTA